AAAAAAAAATGAATTGAAGCACCCGTCTTTTAAAGAGGCCTGTTTCCAAATAAAGGCAGGTTAAATTCATGTTTTTAAATCAGCTTAGATTAAACAGGCTTTTATTGTGAAGAGTTCCGATCGGAAGCCTGGTCGTTGTTGCTGCTGGCGGAGCACAGGCCGCAGTGATTTGGTAGCCGCTGCAGTAGGAGGAAGGACCGCGGTTCTACCCCCTCTATCTTTCAGTTTCGCCTCGAAATTTCATCGGTTGTTCCTTCTGGTAGCGATCAGTAAATCGAGCGTACAGCAACGGCGTCCTATGATAATTGAGTCGTAGCATTACCGACGGACAGTGACACCAATCGCCATTTCAATTGCACGTTTTCCCTGACAGAACCGCTAGCACAACAATGGCTCTGAAAAGAATTCACAAGGTAAGGAAGTGAGCGACGAGGCCCGGGATTTCGCAGTTTTCGTCGGGGGGGTTCAAGCTCCGAGCGACGCCCGCGGCTCGCCGTCCGCTGTCGACTTCATCCAACGGGCGAATTATTTAAAAAAAAAAACCAACCGTTGGCTTTAACGGCTCGGGCTCGTGGGGCTCCCAACTGCCAGCTAACGGTCGCCGAATAGCGAGTGACGACAGCGGAGAGCAGCAACGCGCCGCCTGTCTGCTACCAACGGGCCAACTTGACCGTTACACTCAACGGCCAGCCGTTAGTTTTAGCCGTTGTAGCCGCTGTCTCACGGTGTCGCCGCTCACTTATTCGCATTATTTTGCCATTTTAACACTTAATTATCCGCCGCAATGTGAGCCACGCCGGGTTTTTCTGCTTAATGATATTAGCGGTGTGTTAGCGCTAGCCGGCTAACGGTGGCTAACCTCGGATGAGCTAATAGCTGTGAAAAAAGGGTTTTTTTTTTTTTTCTCCCCCATCAAAAGCTTTTCTACACTAAACGCTGGTGTTTTATATGTTTTACTGTGGTTTAAAACGGTGGCTTACACACAAGTGGTCTGTACTTGTGGAGCCTAACTAACATTATTTATCGGTTACTTAACGCTCCTCGATTTGACAGATAAGTTGCCGAGCTAGCTGCGGCGTTAGCCGATTTTAGGATGATTTTATCTGCTCATTTGCTTCTTTATCTCTTTACCGAGTTGTTGTTTTCATCTTAAATGCGTTTAAATTCAACGCGAAGCAGTTTTGTAGACAACTCACGGGTGAATGCAACCCCAGCTCCTCTTTACATCCCCTGTTTTTACGTTATTTTGTTCGTAATGCACAAACCTGTTGAGTAATCTCGATGTATTAGGTGTCTTATTGTTTCTAATTGTCGTTGTAGTTGTTTGATCTCGTCAAACTAACACTATATATTCATATATATGTGTATATATGTGTGTGTGTGGTTAAAGCAGGCCCCACGCGTTGCTCCCTTTGATGCCATGTTGCTGACAGCAGCCGAGCAGCAGATCGTTATAACACCGCAGGTTGCGTTGAGTCGGCTGCATGTTGTGTCTCCTCTTGTTGTTGTTAATTGTTAATACCTCCGCTGTCTGTAACTCGGTTTCTGCTCACTCGTCGGTCCTGTTCAACGCAGATTACCAGGCTGCTTTGGTTTTTAATAAAACCTTATTTTTGGTGTCACATCGTGGAAATACCGTAGGACTGAAACTGTCTAACTGCAGATGATATAAAGTATTAAGATCAGACTATTAAAAGATGTTTTCCAGGAGTTGTGTGTTACTAGTGTGACTGATGTTTCTTTTTCTCCTCTTGTATACGTTATTGTTGACTGACTTGTCCTTTGTTTGTCTCAGGAGTTGAATGATTTGGCCCGGGACCCTCCAGCCCAGTGTTCTGCAGGACCAGTAGGAGATGACAGTAAGTCCACCGACACTTTCCTGCCTTTCCCCCTTTCCCTTATTGTGTCCGGAGCGTCTTAATAAACAACCAAACCTGCAGAATTAAATATTCATCAGCCCAAAATACACACAAAGAAAAAGTCTTGTACTCTAATTTGTTACACATAATGTGGATTTAACCTGTCCGCAGTATTTATACGACCAGACTGCGACTTCAGTACGTAAGATAAAAGAAAATACAAGCGTCAGTGAAGGTGTTCGCTTTGGATTCAACTACATGAAGGAAGAGCTCCTGTTTTTGTTTTTGTTTTGTCTGCAGATCCAGGAAACACCTGAACTGCTTCTGGTAAAAAAAACACAGGTTTATTTATTATATAAAGCGTAATGTTTCACTTTTGTCTCAGGGTAGTTTATAATTATTTTGTGATTTTTAAGAGTTAAAGAGGAATTTTAATTCATTAC